AGAATCTCAACTCCTTTTAGGATGGATTGTCATTGTTTCCAAAGTATGAAATTAGAAATTAAACACGTATTGGCAAGTCCGGGGAGTAAATAAAATCAGATTTATAATAGGTATAGAAGTGCCGAATTAAAATAAGATTTTGAAGTTGATAAAGTTATCAAATAAGACGGATATACAAAAATGTAATACTCCGTAGAAAATAAAAGGTATAGAAAGTAATTAAATAATAGTTATATATAATGACATGGCAGGATTATGTGGCACTCTGTATGTTCTTAAAAAGTTCTTCTTTTATACTCCCTCCGTCCCAGGGAGAAGTTCCCAATTTCCTTATTTGGATGTCCCAAAAGAAACTTCCAATTTCCCTAAATGGAAAGTTATCCTACATTAAAACAGTGCTAAACAGTGTCAAACAGTGCCAAACAGTGTCGAAACAGTGCAAAACAGTAAAATTTACCCCTCAGTAACTTTATTTCCTAAAAATGTGTGAAAGTCAACCCGGGAACTTCTCCCTGGGACGGAGGGAGTATATATATATATATTGATTTAACAAAGTTACTTGTCAGTTATAATTACGTAGGATATACATAGAGACCATTGATATATCCATGGACAACTTGCTTTAAACATTGTCACTCAATCTTGATGTAATTGCTACTATCATGATGGAAGTGATTGATCAAGAGGCTTATGGATGTGAATGATCAAGAGACTTATGGATGAGACTCAAATTATTGCACATCATTACATTAGAAGAAGAAAAGAGTAGAATTGAAGATGAGGTTCAAAGAGGATGTAACACACATGTGAAGACAAATGCAAAAGATTGATATCGTGTAACACACCGCGCCCTGAGAAACTTTCGAGGGGGTCAGCCATCCCTGGGACTACTCCCGTGCAAGCAAACTTAATTTTGGAGTTCTTAGGGAATGAACTCCCTTAAAAGAAGATGCATCTTATTGGTATGAGTAATACTATTAATCAATTTATATTAAATCTCAAGTGTTACAATCTTTGTAAGGTGTAGGCAATGGCCCCATTTTCGACTTTAATGGAAGATTAGGAAGCTGTAGGTTGCTTTCTGGGTCACTAGAACACCAAACTACTTCTTCCATTAATTATAACTTTGCTATCTTTTATCTTTTGGATATCTGAAAATTTTGTCACTTTCTCTTTTAATCACTTAATTCGTGGTTCCTATTATTTCATTTTCTTCAAAATTCTCAACCATACAACTTTTACTTTATTATTCTTTGTGCCGCTCAAACTTGACAAAATTTTAAGGGACAAAAGAAGTTTTTTTTTTAGGAAAACAACATAGCCAACAGGTGAATGACCGCTATATGGACAAGCTGACACTCGATATGCAGTGATAATACAATCACCTATGGATGGTTGAAGCAAAAGGCGGGCAAAAATCTTTCCCAACACTTAAAAATATATTCCGTTCTTTTTTAGTTGCAACACTTTCCTTTTCGGAAAGTTTCATAATAATTGCAACCATTCTATTTTAAGACATAAAAGTGTATGCAATTGTCTTTAATACTCTTAATGAATCTTACCGCCTCTATCCTATCGGTTCCTTTCCTTTCTTTTAATCTTCTCTTTATTATCCTCCACCCACTCCTTTATTATCCTCCACCCACTCTTTTATCTCTTTTCTTCCTTTCTAACTTCTCTATTTACGGAGATCTCCCATCCCTTTGTTTATTGCTCCAGACAATAATGGATGCTGAACATTCAACAATTACAGTAGGATAGAAGCTCTCGTGGCTCGATTGTTCAGAAGAAGAAAAAAACCCGATTTCCGAGGATTATGATGCGTGAGAGAAGGATGGTCTATCATCCCAAATTCGGCCTAAAGGACAAGCAGATTATGAGGTTCTGTGAAATACGGAGTACTTTGGCCAGACCAATTTAAAGAGAAAGAGTGTTATAAGAGAGGTAATTTACCTGGCTATCTCTTTAAAATTTGGGGATCATTTTTTGATTAACTTCTATGCTCTGGATTTTTTGGTTATGTTAATTTATGGTTTTAGCATGGTTCAAATTCCTAGATTTGTTAATTTTTGGGTTTTCACATTTTGTAAATTATGACTACCTTAGCTAATTTCATTTTGTTGTCTTCTACTGAGTATAAATTTTTAGTTGGTTTAATAATTGTTGAATTAGCGAATTTAATTGCTAGAGATATACTGCTTTTTTTTTATTGAGTCTACCTTTAGGTAGTAAGTTGGTCTGTTCTAGTGAATTGAATTGCAATAAAATCACAGCATGTATAGTATCACTACTTGCTGCAATTTTGAATGTGGTTCTGCAATTGTCGAATTGTGTAATCTTTCTCCAATACTTACTTTTCAATGTTACTGCAAATTTTCATCTGGTATTGTAATCTTACTTTGCAATTTCTTCAAATGTTCACAAACTCTAAACTGCCATTACAAAGTTAGTACACAAAAAACTAATAAAGACAGTTTTTTACTTCATTACATACTTCAAACTTAGGCTGCCAAAACTATACCCTTTTACAAAAAACTATCTGCCTTCACATACTAACTGCCTTTACAAAATGGTAGTTGCGTTCATATATTAACTACCTTTACAAAATGTTGTTCACAGTAGTAAACAAGGCAATTTTTTTTACTTCCATACATATTTCAAAATTAGGTAGAAAAAAGTAACTACCTTTACAAAATGTTGTCCACAAAATATTACCACTAAACAAGGCAGATTTTTACTTTATTGCATTTGAGCAAGATTCAATCAAATGTATGTGTATTGGTTGAGCCAACACCTACATTAAAATGAATTTCACCCTCCACCATGTACTCCAATGTTTCTTCAATTAGATCATCCGGAACATCAATTTGTTTTGGTAGCAGCCCCATGTGATCCAACTTCCTTTTCCCTCTATGGGGGTTCTTGTAGTTGTTGCCACCTTTAACTTTTAAAACTTCTAGCATAACATATTGAAGATGCAACCAAGTATAGTTTAGTAGTTTTGGCTCATAATCATTAAATGCATCTTGGACTGCAGTGACTAGTTCATCTACATTTTTAGGAAAAGCTCTATGTTGAATTGACTGAATACCTCTAAAAAATCCCAGATCAAGTATGTTCAAATCCGGGCTTTGGGCGGGCTGGCATGTTAGGTTGATATTTAACCCAAATGCAGTAGCAGCTTCAGTAAATTGTTCATCATGCACACTTATATGAGGCCTATCATTATCTTGTTGAATCCAAATGTCTTTGCATGCATTAGATGGCCACTTGTTCCTTATAGCCGGTAAAACTGAAAAAATCAATTTGGCCCTAATAACGTCTTTCGAAACACTTTGTATTGCTTTTGTCTCTGGAGTGCCAGCACTCCTATTAACTGAGCTTCTTTGTGCACAAACAACTTTTGTGAATGGAAAAATTCCTATTTTACCATCCCATAAAACTTGCCCCTCAACTGAAATGTGTGGTCTTGCTACTGCAGCCAAGAACACCACCTTTCCAATGAATTTTTTGCTTTGACAGCTTCTATATGGATCATCCTCCCAACGAAATAGGTAAAACTTTTGCGTTTGTTTTGACATGTAGAACCACTTCTTGTCTATGTGAACCATGTTGTACATAGAACTAAACTTAGGAACTGTGTGCATTTGCCTGGGAATAATCTGACCCATAATGTGTTGTAGCCTCTTAATCATGTGTGAGTGAGTTAGTTTAGGCTTAATGCTGTTTGTATGGGCTCTCAACTGACCTGTTTTAAGCATTCTATAAACAGTGGAGTGACTAATTCCAAGAGCAATAGATAAGGATCTGATTGTTGTCCATTTCTGAAGAGGCACAGCTTCAAGTGTACCTAAATCAAACTCTTTTGCTTTCCTTCCAACTCTTCCTTTTTTCTTGCCTTTTACATCTATCATTGTGCCTGTACCTAATTGCAATTTTGCTGCAGACCAGAGTCTCCAGATAGTGGTTCTGTGGACTTTAAACTCTGCAGCAATCTGAGACACAGCTCCTTTTGGTAGATTTTTACCATCGGCTAGTAGCAGAAGTTTTTCTATAAGGTGTTTTCTTTGAATATTTTTCAGCTCCACCTTTTCTCCCAGATGATTGTATTTCTTCCTCACTTTCAGTTTCAGATAAGAAAGAAGACGATATGGCTGCATCTGGGTCGAAGTTAAAGTCAAAAAGCATGGCCTCCTCCAATTCAAGAAGCTCTGACACTGAAATTTCTTCGTCCATTTATGGAGCACTGGACTTTTGCGTATTTTGTTTTTGCTAGGCAGAGCTCTTTGGTTGTCTGAATTTGTAAAATGCTAACTTCTCTCGTGACTACTCTGTATTTAATGTAGGCTCCCTCAATTATGGAGGGAAATTTGTTTTTTTCACTTTGGCAAGTCCCTCCAATTTTTGGGATGATAGAGTTGTAAAAGTAGGAAGTGACAAGCCATTATTTGCACCGTAGCTCTTTGTACTCTTCTACTTTTTAAAAAACAATTGCTTTATGTACCGCAAGGTTTTTGTCAGGTCTCCAGAGGTTTGTTTTTAATTGCCGAAGGATATAAAGGGGAAAATATTACTTTATCCCTATTTCTTAATTTGTGTGCCTTGAAGGTATGTTGCATCTAAATAAAAATGGAGGATAGTACTTAACAACTAACGTCTCATGTGAAGTGTGTAGGGCATGGGGATATAGAATTTGTAACTAGCAACGTTCCAACTGGATAAAAGTTGGATTGATGAAAGGTTCAGGACCGCACCTGTAGAGGAGTATACATGAAATGAGGAAAAGTATGCCCAATAAAGAAAGCATATTCTTTCTAGTTTCTACTACTCCCTCCGTCTCGCAAAGATTGTTTCATTTTCCCCTTTCAGAAAATCCCACTAAGATGGTTCCATACCAAATTTGGTATAGTTTGTGTGGTTTTAAATCCTTTTTACGTCATTCTTACTTTATCAATTTAATATTGATCACATAAACTCACTTTTCTTAATTGTGTCACCTCTCTTGTCCCACCGCCTCCCTATTTCAGAGGTAGTATTAATTACTATGTAGAAATTAATCACCTCTCTAGTAGTAATTTCTACCAGATCCCACCGTCGCCCAACCTTCTGCGACTCTTAGCAACCCAACCAAAACCGCACCGCCTCGCCCGTCTCCTTCCCTATGTGACTCAACAACCACCAGATCTGGAATAGGGAGGCGGAATGAGATCGATGAAGCTAGACAACAACGAAGGCGACAATTCACAACGAAGAAGAAGGTAGTGCGGAGCGAAGAAGAAGGCGATTCACCATAGCCCCAAATTGGGCAGCGGACCCTAGCAGCCGGCGAAAGCGAGGTGGAGGCAACCGGCGGAGGCGAGGCTGAGACAGTCGGTGGAGACGAGAAGTAGAGGAGGACTTCCCTAGTGGCCGGCGGAGGCAAAGCGCAGATGTGAGGTCGATCGTGATGGAGAAGCGAAGATGTGAGGTCTTCACGATGGAGAGACAGAGATGTGAGGTCGATTGTTTCAGGAGAGAAGTTATTGTTAGGTTTAGCATTTTAATGTGACTTTTTTGTCTAATTTTAAAGTGGTCATATTTTTGTCCATCTGAAGTGGGAGAGTAATATTCATGCCATTCTTTCTTATTTTTACTTGATTTTTTTTTTGTTATTACATAGTGTAAGGATGTTTTTACTTGGACTGTAATTTGCTGGTCTGGTCTTGTAACGCCCTGAAACCCGGTCCAGCTGATAACGTAAATTTAAATTAATATGTTTTCTCTTTAGGTCTAAAATTCTTTAAATGATTGTTAACTAAACAATAAATATTAGCATTTAAAATAGCGTTTAAATGGAAGCAACCTAGTAATGATATACGAATTTCATTTTTGCCAAATATAATTTATTTCTAACCGTTTCCCTCAAATTTTAGACAAAAGCTTAAAAAGATAATTTATAAAAATGGTGTGGAGAATCTGGAGATCTGCCATGAATCCACACCGAAAATAAATGTATTTTATGACATAAATTCATCAGAAATGCTGCAGGGATAGGAAAATGTCAAATTTACATGCAATGATATTATGAACTAAGGAGCCACGTAAAGCCTCATTTTATAATAGGACCAAATTAGGTGATGATGGGGATTGTATAGTCAAGACAACTCCTAGGATAGGGATATTGATAAGTATACGTGTAAATAGGATGGAGGAGGACATATGTGTGCTGGAATATTCATGTCTTACTCATAGGGGATAATTTTGGTTTTAAAAGGAAAAATAAACTATTTATTGATTGGCCAAACTAGAGGTGAGATTTGGATCAACTTTGATTTAAATGAGACTTAGCTCCTCTTTCAATTCCCCTACCACTCGACCTGGCCATTTAATACAGTAGGGGAAACCCATCAAAATAAACTATCTGCAAGAAGAATAAGAATTCGAAGTCAAGCAACGTATATGGAGTCTCCATGCCCACAAAATTATATATAGAAGAATTTGTCTTTCAGGTCAGTACGTTTCCGCCCCGTTTAGACTAAATTCCGTCCCCATTTCCTGTTATGTTATGGGGATGATGAACATTGTATAACCTTAGCTTAGAAATAATTTTGTATGCTCTTATCATGCGAATTTCGATCAATTTATATGTACTAGTAGTTCATGTATAGGCACACACTTCGTATATGGTAGTGATTAAAAATGCAAATTAAAACCGGAACTAAGAGTAGTGGAACTAAAAATTACTAGTATAAATTTAAGCTAGGGTATTTTTTTTAAATGTACTTTGATATATGATTACGATACATATGCATACCAGGCAGGTAATAGGTATAAAAAGTAAATTTCCTACCAATTAATAATAATTGCAAAATAGAAGGAAACTACGTAGCGGAAATAAAAACTGACAATTAAAGGGTATTTTGGAATAGGATTTTGAAATATAATCCAAATATTTTAGGTATTAAGAACGAATGTATATGGACCACAATGCTTTACGTAATATATGCATTATCTAGTATAATATCACTTGAAATTACTTGAGTTGAAAGCATATATGAGTGGAATATAGGTATAAGTATACTTAATTAGATGAAAACATGTACTACGTAATGTGGTTATTATCAAATTATAATAATATAACCAATTACGAAGTATCATTTATGGATAATGTTTTGTTACGAATATTTCAAATAGAATTTTAAATAGAACGTACAATACTTATTTTCATCAACTCTTAAACTAAAGCTTGGTAGGTATACGTACATATACACACGACATACTACTTAATACGTAGTGTAATTTAAAAGTAATTATTGATATTAAGTGCTAAATAATCTTTGAAAATGGATCTTATTTTATAAGAATATAATTAATAATTATCTTACGGACTCCGATCAAATTATACAGAAAGTATTTACGGTAGTATTAAAAGTAGAGTTTGTTTGCATGCATGCAAATTATTAGATCACATGCCTATGTTAATATCAACATTTAGGTGGGTATATCATATATGTATGGCCGGGTTGATATAACATGCATGTAATGTAATACTTAACTAGGTGCCTAGATGGTATACTGGTGTATGACGTGAGATGTAATGTTGTGACAAATTATATAATATGACATGATATGTTGAATAGTATAGAATTTATAATAATCTGAACACGTTTATACGATTTATTTTCTTGGGTCACATTTTGTTAGTGTTGGGTTAAGGGCCCAAGCCGAGGTCCGGCCCACTAACCCATTTTGCCAGACGAACGTCCAGTTAGGACACTAGGCCAGCCCACAGGCCCATGTTCCCTGAGGATGGACGAACGTCTGGTGTTGGAGGACTCAGGCTCAGCAGCTCATTCCGACGAACGTCTATGCAGGGACAAGGAGCAGAACCACGGGCCACCAGGGATGGCGACGAACGTCCACAGAGCAAGCCTGCAGTCATCGGGGGAAACCCAGTCCACATGGTGAGTATCCATCAAGGCCAGGAGACGAACAGCCGATATCTCCCAAGGGTCCCTTGGAGCAATCCAACTTACTTCCCGGTGGACGAACGTCCCCACTAATCCGGCGGGAAACCTAGATTCTGGCGGGAAGTGCATTTAATGCTAAAGATTTGGTAGTTGGGACACCAGCGGTCCACAGGCTGCCACGTCACTACAGCCACCTGCCCATTGGCGGGTATAAATAGAAGCATTTATTCCATTGTAAAGGGTGGGCAACTTTCTATTCTTAGCATACTAGCTTCAGCATTCTTACTCGCAGCATTCTAACTGCCTTGTAAGACGAACGGCCGACGTGCCTTTTTTAGCAAGTAGATTGTACTTAGGGGAGTTATTATGAAGTTAATAATACCTATTTACATTGCCTGCTATTTCTTTTGTTTCCTGATCCATCCGATAGTTGTTGGGCTAGATATTCATACACTCACTCCACTCGAAATCTTTGGGCTTACGTGTTGGGCCCGAGGGTTGAAGGAATAAACCTCAACACTGGCGCCGTCTGTGGGAAACTGAGCGAAAAGTTTCCAGAAACTCTCCCAAACAGCTACTAAGTCTACCTACTGCAAACACGATGTCAGGAAGCAACACCCAGCGTGATCTCTCCGAGCGTCTGGAGTCGAGCCGGCGGAATCGCGGCCAGAACTCGGAACTATCCGCAACAATATGGACTTCAGGGGGAAACGGGGGTATCACTGACCTCATTCCCCTGGAGGCCAGGCAGGATCCCCGCCTCATGCGTGAACTCGCAGACACCATGCGTCGCATGGCGGACGAGCGGGAGGCCCGAGAGCAGGTGTACTCTGCAAGCACTCAGCGAACGCCCCTCTCTCCCATACGCCGCATGCAGTCGTACGATGATACGACGGGATCCAGTGACCACCGGCCCTCAGTCCACGAGCGGCTAGGTGGGGGTTCAGGCTCCCGTGAAACGGGAGGGCGGACCAGGGTTAGCATCGCTGCATCCAGGGCTCTCACACCATCGATTCCTCGCCAGATTCCGCGGGGAGACGAGACCCCAAGGGTCAACACCGTTGGACGACGTTTCCAACGGCGAGGTGCGCAGATCTTCAGGCGGCCGCACGATGTTGTGGCCGCTCAGCAGAATGCCACCCCCGAAGCCGCACCCCCTGTGTCCCCCGGAAGGGCCGCACAGGACGCACGGCTGGAAGCCATGGAGAGGCAGATAGCCGAGATGAACAGGCGGGCGGACGCCGGCTCGGCCACACCCTCCTTCTCTCTCACATCACCTTTCACTCCACGGGTGATGAGCGTCGAGATCCCCCGGGACTGCAGGCCCCCGGGGAACTTGGTGTATAATGGGGCTGGTGATCCTAAGGCCCATCTGATAAGCTACCAAGGGAACCTGTCCATGCTGGGAGCATCGGACGAGGCCATCTGCAGATTGTTCTTCAGCACCCTCAGGGGGCCAGCTCAGGAATGGTTCGGCCAGTTGAGGCCAGGCACCATTGACTCATATGAACAGCTTTCCCGGCAGTTCATGGCACAGTTTGCTGCCAGCACCACCCCCAGGAAGGATGTCACGGCACTCGCCCACATCAAGCAAGGGCGGGACGAACCGCTGGCTAGGTTCCTGGTGAGGTGGAGGGACGAGGTACTGCAGGTCGACGATCTGGACGAACGTCTGGCCACCAACATGTTCACCAGTGCGCTGGCCACAGGGGATCTGTATCGGGACCTAAGGAGGAATCTCGGCACCAACTACACCGAGGTTTTGGCCCGGGCACAAAAGTATGCCTCCATTGAGGAGGAGATCAGGCAGCGGGACGGAGTTCCCGCGGCCCAGCCTAGGAAGATGGCGGACAGGCTCGGACCTAAACCGGGACCCGGGCCCTCTCCCCCAAGCAAAAAGAAGAGGGTGGACGGGGCGATGGTCCCTTGGAAGGCTCCGTCCGGAGACAGTCAGACGCGGCCAGACGACCGCTATATACCTTTGGCCTATCCAGTGAGCCAAATCTTCGAGGCCATCAAGGACAAGGGCCTCCTGACGGAACCCCAAGATATGAAGAAGTATATGGGGCTTGACCAATCGGCTTACTGTGAATACCATCAGAGGGTCGGCCACCTGACGGACAACTGCAGCCAATTAAAGAAAGCGATCGACGAGCTGATACGTCAGGGGTACTTGGGCGAGTTCACCCAGCTGCTGAACAAAAACAGTCAGCAGAAGCCGAACCCAAGGCACAAGACATGGCGCCGCGACGACCGGCGCGAAGCAGAACCTCAGGACGTGGATTATCGGAGTGCAGATAAACGTCCGGAGGGATCCCTTGGCCCAAAGGGCAAGAAGAAGAAGTTGGAGATCAAGGTGATCTTCGGGGGCGCTGAGACAGGAGATACACCCGCCGAGCGGAAAAAATTTGAGAGATCACTCTATGTGGGTTCCGTATCAGCACCCCCCACCAAGCGCAATAAGACCGAGGCAATTACCTTCGGCCCCGCTGATCTGCCAATGTCACCGGCGCCGCACAGAGACGAGCTGGTGATCAGCATGGATGTGAATGATGCCATCGTCCGCCGCGTCCTTGTTGATACTGGGAGCAGTGTGAACATCCTCTACTGGGAGGCTTTCGAAGGAATGAAGCTCAGGAAGGACATGCTGCACCCTCTGCGCACCCCGCTGTCCGGCTTCACCGGGGACTGCATTGACGCCGAGGGCACCATCGCCTTGCCGGTAGAGATCGGCGACGGCCCTCATACGGCCCGGACCAGCATGACGTTCGTCG